AGATATATATTTAGTACTTACTATGATAGCCCAAATATTTTGCTTGATTAGCAGCAACAAAAGTAGAATGATTTTCTAAATAGACTTTATTTGGAAAAATGATTTTCTTAAATGGCCCCGGCCTATATTCAGACTTCACATTTTAACAGTTTATTAAAAACTTAAGTCATTTTATTGGATTAAAGTGTTGTCATTTTGGAACGAGTCGCCATAGAGAGACACTATGGAGTCGCTTTCCAAATTTATCGCAGCAATTTAAAGTCGGCAAGAAAACGGAGGATGAGGAGCAGGTCGTGGAACAAAAAAGACGACGGAAAAGAGCGAGATCGCAGAGCGCTTGGGAATAAGCCATTACAAAGACGGATGGGCAAGAAATGTTAAACACTGCGAGACAAAAGCAAACGCTATCTAAATGCCGGAGGGCTCTACGTCGCCATTAATCTGCCAAAGGAAGGAACCATCGCCGCCGCTACTGGTTCTTCTTGGCAGAGGTCGGCAGAATTTGTGCCAAAAAAAAAAAAGAAAAAGAAATAACCCGCGACGTGGCCGGGGAGATAAAAGATTGAAACGACCCGGACTAGAAAATGTATAGAAGTTTATTGGGGTTTTGGGCAACAGTTCACGAACCGGCACTACTATAAATAGTTTGGATATGCTCCGTTATTAGAATAGTTGTACCAATTTGTTTGTTCAATGAATGCATATCAAGGAATAGCTTTTTTATGATATATTGACTTATATTTATTTTAACTAGTTCTTCCCCTTGCCCCCGGCCATTTTTATTGCTCCACTATGACGTAGTGTCGGCCATCATTTTCTAATTGTTGCAATTGTCGCGGCCATCATTCTTTTTCAATTGTTGTAGCATTGTCACTGATGTCGGCCATTATGGTTTTTTAATAGATGTATAGTAATCAATGATTAAAATTTAAAGCAATTGTTTGTAAATAGGTATGCAACACATCGTACACTTCAGCATAAGAAATTGCTGATACTAACTATGTAATACTACATTGCCCTCTGCTGACAGCACTCATAATTTCTTTTATATATAATACTAGCAGCGAAACCCGGCGTTATAAAATATTTAAGGATCCACTATTTAACGTAGATAATATAGATTTCTGTCTTAGATATTGAGAGACTTACCCCCGGTTTCATGGACGTTGATCAACGTTAACAGAATATTCAAGATTATTCTTAACAATGACAGCCTGTCCTTTATTTTTTATGTTATGTTTTCGATCGTTCTAGAATGTTACAGAACACAAAAATATTTCCGATAATAACACACCACCCAATACACACTACCAATACCAAATATCAAATTTCTTAATAATGATAGATCGTTCTAGAATATTCTAGAATATTTGGACAAAATCTAGAAAATTCTAGAAATCCTTGATAATTAATTGCGGACATTTGGAACTTTCCAGATCATTCCAGATATTTCTAAAACTTTCTGGAACATTCCATATCGATTTTAACAGTTGCACACAATTTGGAACTTTCTAGATCATTCCAGAAATTTTTAGAACTTTCCAAAAGGTCTCATAAGTTAGAAAAGGACA